GATCTAAAAAATTAATATATATATATATATATATATATATATATATATATATAATTAAATTTAAACATATTTCATAAATATGGACCTATAAAATATTATCGAATCCAGATTCGATGGACCTGGATCCAAACCCAGACCCAAATTGTGTTTGGATTCAAGATTTGGTCCTGAATCCGACCCACCAGTTTCAATTTTTGGACTCATATCTTGACCGAGTCTACCCCTATCTCTCTCTGGTATGCATATTTAAGGCAAGAAGGTTTTGAACACACAATAAACATGGCTAAAAGTGGAATACTTGGAAGACTGCATACAATACACGTGCTGGATCAATCCATAAACAATGAACAGAAGCATGATTTATTGATTATAATGGACCACGTAGAGAGCGTACTACCACACAATGATGAACTGAATTTGGGTAGGTTTAGACGCATCTATTACATTGAGTCAACCCTTTCAAAATTTATTTGGAAATGGATTTTGAATTCAAAATTTTGCAGGTCACGATCTCCTGAAAGATAGTGAGGTTGGTGCTTTTCAAATAGGAAATTGTTTCATACGGGGTGGATTGCATTTTTATACAAGAGATGGAGAAAGATTTATACAAGAGAGATTTTTAGGACAAGCAAAAGAGGAGATGATTTAGAGATAGGCATAGACGACTATATTTTGAGATATCCATCATTAAGAAAGGAATACACATGGGGAGAGGTAGGGGTGCCAATGGGCTGGGTGGCCCCGTTTGGGCCACAAATGGTGGCCTGAGGACCGGGCCTGGGCAAGGCCAAGACATGCCTTCATTCTGGGCCAGGCCGAGCTTAGGCTAGCCCTCGAGGGAATAGGGCTGGGCTAAGGCCCGGGCTGGCCAGGCCCGTTGCCAGCCATTGGGAGAAACAGGGGTATATGTGAGTAAGAGAGAGGAGGAGGTTGTTGACCTCCTCTCCCTTTCTCAAAACCTATAAAAACCTTATCCACCCTTCTTAGTTCTCATAATCTTTTTTTATTTTTCTGTATTTGAGGTATGTTCTCTCTTGGTTTTTGGCTTAACTTTATACTTCATGGTTTAGCTTAATTAAATGTCCATAATATTTAGATATAATTGTATTTATTGCAAAATTATTTGTGTTTAATTTTCTTGCCATTGTTCTCACTCATTTTTGCTATTTTTTATTCCATAATATTAATATATATATTTATTCTCATAGGGGCGCAGTTTTTATACAGATGCATATGTAGGTGTAGAGGTAAGGTGCACCTTCAAAGTTTATCATGGTATATAATTTTGATGTAAAATGTTTTTAGGATTATCTCAAAATCTATTTTTATACCTAATTATAAAATTTTAAATTTCAAAAATGGTTAAAAGTAAGTAGATCTATAAACATATGAAAATCTTGAAAATGGATGGTGTAGATAATATGTTGTAAAATGCACTATTTTTTATTCTTAAAATCTTTTTATTTTTCATAGTCATACATCTCGATGTCGAGATGATCAATCAAGGGGTTTTTCAACATTAAAATTACCTTTTCTGATGGATTTTTGAGGGGCATCCGTAGTTCTACCTTATAAGGTAGCATCCTTATATAAACTTTCTCCTTCTTATATTATTTCAAATCCGCTGATCCAGTTTTCTAGAGCCATTATTGTGCTTCTTTTGATAGTTGTGCTTACATATATGAATTCTTAGGGTTTGAACATTGGACGATGAATAGTTGATTCATTGGATGTATTTTTGTTGACCACCAATATCAAAAAGAAAATTGTCTCATGCGGGCTGGACCGTATTACTACATATACGATCAAAAAAGTGCGAAGCATTCATGTTAAAGATGGATGCAAGTAGGTGTTTCATCTAAAAACAATGGAAACTAATAGTCCAAATGTTTTCTTAGTGTAATTATTATTTTTAGTTTTTAAAATTTACTTATTTTTTCATATTCATAATCTCCATGCTAGAGATTACATATCCTTAAAATTAAGTCCAAAAATCCATCTCAAAAATAGATTTATTAATATTCCCGCATTTCTACATATACGGGCTTGGCAGGATAGAAACCGGGTCCATATCAAAATATAATATATTGTCATATAATACCAAATTTATTATAATAAATTAATAATAAATAAGTTTATTAATTAAAAATAATTTTTGTATATTGTCCATAATTATAACAGCGTATTATGTCTACAAAAATATAAAAAGTGACTTTCAAAATTTTTAAAAATTAATTTTTCAGTTACACTTGCAAAGCACGTACAATGTACAATGTATATAGTGATGAGTATAAAATGAAACAAACTTCAAAAATCATTCTTGAGTCAATTGTTTGGCCTCAATTTTTATGTAGGTGTATGTGTGTGTGCATGTACGTTTGTGTGTTTTTTTATATCTAGGAAAAGTTTTAAGTGAGATTTTACTCAAATGTGTCCCCTTCAAAATATCTATCTGATAGATGAATTTAGGATTTCAAATACATCTTAAGTCACTCTAGATGCATTTACACTATAGAGTCACAATTTTGCATCTAAAAAAATATACATATTTGATGATCTGCAAAGAAATACTATGAACAGTGAAATGTTCCAAAAACAAAAAATTTTAAAAAATATATCTGAAAGTACCTCACAGATCAAATAATCAATATCTCACCAATTCATTTTGATGTAATTTCAAAAACCCATCAATTGATACCAAACATGAGTTAAAAGTAGTCGTTTAAGTGTGATTTGATAAGTAGGTGAAATGTTAATTGTTAAATGATTGATTTCTAGGCGCATTTTTATAAATTTTTAACTTCGAAAGAATCTATTTTTAAATATTCAAATTCACTATTGTGATGGTCAAGATTATCAATCTTTATAATATTAGGTCCTAAATCCATTTCTAAGAAGGATTTTAAAGGAGCCTCCGTTTGATAGGTGTTCTCCGCAGATGCACTGAAACCCCATCCTTTATATTTTAAAATAATATGCTACAAAATAATCAATAAGATCTGGCACACTTTCAAGAGAAAATGATAAAATGATATACCATGATATCATTCAAGAGAAAATGATCCAGCCAAATAACAACATAACATTTTAAATGCTGATTAAAAATTATCTTTTCTTTTTTTATTATTCTTGGCTTCTGAGAATAATAGAGTGCCAAGTTTTTATGATACAATAATAGCCCCTCAAAACCTGTGTTTCTAAATAGGGCAAAGTTGATCCCAAGGCCACACAATCAACACTTTGAAAGAATGGTTCTCAGCCGCTGATTTATTTGAGACCAGACCATGAGAACAATTAGAAGAGCTAGGCTACACAATCAACACTCTGAAAGAATGGTTCTCAGCCATTGATTTATTTGAGACCAGACCATGAGAACAATTAGAAGAGCTAGGCTACACAATCAACACTTTGAAAGAATGGTTCTCAGCCGTTGATTTATTTGAGACCAGACCATGAGAACAATTAGAAGAGCTAGGCTACATAGGCTTTGGAGGACAGTAGGATATGTCATCTGCAAACCAAAACAAAAAGAGTTTAAGATAATGATGATGATGATGATGCGGTGACTCGATAAATACCCCAAGTGGTCGGCCATTGATCATAAGTAATTTAGCAGTTGAAACGCTCTTGCTTGCAAGCTTTCAGAGTTCCTTGAACAAACTTTAAGATGTTACATAGTGCGAGCTTCTATATAGATTTTTTTTTTTTCTTTTTTTTTTTTTTGTGGTGTGTGTTGTTTGTGTGTGTAGTTCAGTAGTAAGAATTGAACTCGAGATGTAGCGATGCAAAATATTAGCTACTAACAATTCAAACGCAAGCACGTTTCCTTATGTATAAAGAGTATACATTGCATGAATGTGGATTTTGAGTGCTTGATTAGCACTTGAGTTTAGTGAGCCTAATCTGTTGGTAGAACTTGTTTGGAGTGATGCCTGTGCTAGTGCTTGATCTCAAAAGTGTTTTCTTAACAAACTTGATCCCGAACAACTTTTCTTTTTGTTTTGAATGTTAAACGTGTTATTATATCATTCATTAAAACAGTATTTACAATATAACCCAATTCCTAGAACAAAAATGCAACTAGGTTTATCCAAAGTTCAGAATCTACACAGGTGATGTTCCTCTCCCTGCCAAGGTATATAGCCTTATCACCTTTGCACATTCAAAGGAGTCTCCTTCGATGATGATGTCGTGATACAAATTCTCCATGAGCCTTAAACTCTATAGTGTAGCTCTCAACTCTGCTTCCAACATAGGTAAATTTGATAGCACCCTCATTATCTCTTAAGAGTCCTTCCATCCCCAAAAGGAAAGGGTTTTCATTTTAACGTAAAATTAATTTTGATTTTTCTCATTGATGGCAGAACCCATTTTTTCACCCTATGTATCTTTCCTTTTTTTTGACAATATCACCCTGTATCTTCCTTCTTGACATTCTTGCCACTTGTCCTACATTATATAACAAGTCATTTAGGGGCACTCTCCAGCATTCCTTTCTTATAAAAAAGCCCAATCTGTAAGTATTCCCCTAATTTTTCTATGATATTTTCAACATCTAACACCTTACAGTCAAATACTCGTCTATTTATTTCTATAAATTTCCTATAGTAAAGAGGCCATCATTTTCCTAGTTGATTGTAGAAGAGGCACTTTTAATTGAACATTTGTGTGGGATGTTGAGGTAATGAATATAGTGGCAAATTTCACTAATAAGGTTCATTCATAAAACTCTTGGATTCCCAACCTTCAGTGGCTACAAAATACATGCCCACTTCAAGTGTCAGTTCTACATGTTCTATAGAAGAAATTACCATTACCTGGCAGAAAGGCCACATGATCTTAATCAGAATCTATTGAGATAACTCTCTCTTGGGGATCTCACTCTTTCCCTAATGTAGAATAAATTCATAAGAAAGCTTGAACTTTGTGAGGGATGGACAGTTTCCGTACCATAGCAATATTGGATTATGGCCATCTTGCTTGAGCATGGAAGAGAGATAAAGATTAAACTGAGAGTGCTCTGTCATTTATTGGTTTCCACAGAGCCTCATCTTTCCGGTTTGGGCTATAAGAATGCTTCTGCAGATAACTCATACAAGGAATGGACCAAATGGTGTTATATCATGATCCAGTAACCAACTCCACTACTTTGTTGTTAGTATTTGTGACCTTTTCACATCCTATACTAAATTTTTAAGTCCCTATCACCTGTCCATTTCTGCTGCCAAACTATAACACCTCCTTGACCTCTTCTTATTAACTTTCTCTTTCCTTGACATACTAACTTAACAAATTTGTCCATTCTTTACTCTCCTTTTGTATTGTCCTCCACCACCATTGGGTCATAAAACAAGATTCATTTCAATTTCCTTACTTCCATTCCACTTCTTGATTTTGGGGTATACACCTTCGAGTGTTGCTTTAGTAACATTGTCATCCATGGGATAGGTTAGTACAGTGGTCATATTAGACAACAATTAATCCGAGAATTAAATCTGTCCCTGGAGAATTTTTTATTAAATAAAAGGAGGAAGTTCCATCATTCCATGGTTGGCATGGTAGACTATCTTATTTACGGTCAACATGTATATAACCTCTTTTTCTAGAATAAAAAGGAACTCTAGAATCTAGTTCTTATAAAAAAAAGGTATGTATACAACAGTACTGGGTAGCCTGAGTGATAGATGAGACTTTATCTCATTTAGCAACCCAGGTTCAAATCTTGTTGGGTTACCTTGAAAAGAAAAGGACACACTGTGTTTTTACAGCCAACACTTTCAATGGAAGTGTTGACACATACTAGGCACATGAAACAATAGACGACATGTACGATATAAGTGTCTATAGTATGCTAACACGTGTCAAAGTATCAATGTATGTTGACACAGGACACAAGGCCCCAGAAGCTTTGCCAGGGTAACACTGCTTTCCATCATTTAAGGTGGCCTTCATATACATTCAGTGTCAAACAAGGCCACTCTAAGTAGGCAACTCTCTTTTCACCTTCTGCATAGCAAAGAGTTAGAGAGTCACCTTGAACTGTCTTCTTACACCTTATGGACAACATTGAGAGATTTCCTATGAGGGCAATCATTGGCTCAGTTGGGACCTTTGCATATGAAACAGACTGAGAAATCCCTCTTTAGACTTGCTACAAGACCCCCCTTGGACCACACCAAAGCTTTGTTACTTCTAGTTAGTCCACCTTTCTTTCCTCTATTTTTGCCTTTTATCTTGACATTAATCCTCCATAGAGGAAACCGCTAATAGTCAAGCTCAACTAAATCTCAAGACTACATGACAACTATGGAATTTGAAGGGCTCATCCTCAAATATATTTTTCATATCCAACATTAAGCTTTAAAACTGCTTGATATACTCAAGTATCGTGGCTGAGTGCCTGAGCTTTGTTAAGGCTTCTCTCGCTGTCCAGATGACATAGCCAGTAGGAATTGTTCCTTTTAACACCCTTTTGAGGTCCTCCCACCCATCAACAGGAGGTTTTGCCTCATGATTGGTGTGTGTTGTCCACTGAAGCTTTGCATCTCTGATGAGGTACAGAATGGTGAGGTCACTCGATCTTACTCTCTAGCAAGACTGCTTCAAAGTACCCCATTTCATATCCGAAAGGAAGTTCTCTGTCTCCTTGGCACTCTTTAATTCTTCTCACGGCTTGGGCTCATGCACATTAAGTCTAGGCCGTTTAAGCACACTAGGTGAGCTACTAGATCCCTGTTCACAAGGCTAAGGCTCAGTGTCTTAAGTTTCTCCTTAAAGATGTTGGTGAGGGCAGCTCCAATAACATCAAGGTTCCCCATGCAGGTTTCCAAGCATTAATTTGCTTCTCATGAGTCACCACCAATCCATTAAGCCGTGTATTGAGTGCTTCAGCTCCTTTCTCTAAGGCAACAATCAATCACCCAATTAGTCAAACGGTTCAAGTTGCTTCCCATCTTGAGTCACATATTCAGTAACCGTAGGACTAGTCATGTCTTGGAAATGGGAGAGATTTGTCAAGGGGCAATGGCTGGCCTTGACTTGTAAGTCCGGTTGCTTAGGAGGCCTTGACTTGTGAGCCTTTCACTTGCACCAACACACACAACCAAGGGACAATAAAATGAACAAGGGTTATGTCCCCATTTAACACAATTACACCTTAACTACACCATATGCCCCCTCAATGTTCTGGGCCTGTGGTTTATATAGAACCTGTTGGAAATTGTAGCATTTTAGGCCCTTTTATTCAAGATATCTAACTATTATGGAAATAAACATATTGTTTAATAATATCATGGCATTGAAATGGAAAGAGTTATGCATAGATATAAATTTTACTAGGTCTTTAGCAGCCTAATTAATCCTAGTAGGAGTTTTAATAGCTAGGTGAAAGCTTGTCAAAACTTCCAATGCCGTATAAAGTAAATAAAGATGGGAGTTACAATTTGGATCTCAAATTGTAGTGGATTGCCCTGAGATCATCCTTAGGTAAGTGGTTCATATCTGGCAGGTCGGACCATTGAAATCCAAATTGTAACTCCCATCCCTATTCACCTTAAACGCATCGGGAGTTTTGACAAGTTGTCACCTAGCTATTAAAACTCCCATTAGGATTAATTAGGCCACTAAATACTTAGTAAATTTTTTATTTAGAATTTTTATCTATGTATAATTGTTTATGTCAATGCCATGATATTATTAACTAATATGTTCATGCGCATAATAATTGGATATCTTGAATGAAAGAGCCTAAAATGTCTCAATTTCCGACATAACCCTTAGAGTTACATGCTTTTTTTAATTCAAATTCATGAGCCCCTTGGTAATGAGGTTGCCTGTCTCTAGCATACCCATGGTCTCTAACCACGATCATACATGAATTTTAAGTTGAGAGTTATAATCAAGTCACATGTGCAGCCTGGACATGTTTAATGTCACATTCTAGCCACTCATCACATGTGCATATGAAGTGGTAAGATCTGAGCCTCACACACCACGGGCTATACCAGACTTGCCTCCTGCCTAAGATTAGTCAAAGTCTAGAGGCCCTGTCACATATGGGTTCATCAAACAAAAGAACTAGGCCTCTAAGAGAGAACTAAATCCTATAAAGTAGCACAAGTCCATAAAGGATAAACATATCATTTTCTTATTTGTTAGGCACACTAAGAGATGTTCTTGCACTAGGTCCTCGATCAATATGCACATGCCTACCTGAGGGTCAAACATTAACTATTCCGTTAATTACCATTTGATTCATTATTGTTAAAAAAAGGGTGCGGATCTTAAAATTTTCTTTAACCCGTCCCATACTTGGGGAAAGGGGTTTGTTTACGTTAGACAGATAGCCAACATAAAGCTGTGCCAAAACTTATCATGATAACCGATCGCAATTAGTTAGGAAAAGGCTTCAATGATGATGATGATGATGATTGTTATAAAAAATGTACATTATAAATGTGTATGTCATGGAAAGTATATATATTATTGAGAATGTACATGGAAGGCTTAGATGAATCATCTTGTATTTATTGTAAGATTAGGTTTATCATTAGTGTCAACAATATCTTCTTGCCTAACCATACATACAAGATACTGCACCTACCATTCTATATACATGGTCAATGATATGTACTTTCCCTAATACGCATATCCATAATATATTATCCCTAACATGCATATATGCTTTTATAACAATAATGTACATCTAAAACCTGGATTGGTGATCGCTAGTGGTGGGCCTTTTCCTACATGAAAAGGGTAGGTGATTTCCATGGGACAATATACTAAAAATTCTACCACTTTATGAGAGAGAGATCATTTACTCCATAAGAAGACAAGAAAATAATTTTTGTTAAAATAGATTAAAAAAAAAAAATTAAAAAAAAAAAGAAAAAAAGGAGGAAAAAATCCATACCGCATAAGTTAGCAGGGAAAGGAGAAGTGATACCACCAGAGCACCCACTTTACTTCTATGGAATCGGAAATACCTGGAAATTCTCTGTAAAATAACCTAAAAATAATCTCACAGGAAAATTCACTAATTAACAGGAATATAAGAAAATTTAAGAAAGTTCATTTAAATTTCTATTAAATTCGACAGAAATAAGCCCAAAACTAAGTGAAAGAATTGACGAGTTAAATTTTTTAGAGACCCATATTTTCATCTTTCTCTCTTTTGGGTGTTAAATCTCATACCTCTCTGAAAGACAAGCTAGGGACTCTTTCATTTCGCCCACTATTTGATGCTTCATCTTTCTTGGGCTTTGCCCTGCTGCTTCTCTCTCTAGAGAGACTTTCAGGGAGCCTGCGCCAGAAGAACAGATTTCCCATTTTGCCCCGCAGCTTGAGATACATCGCCCTCAGTTTCACACGAAAGGAGAATCGGGTGAGGGCAGGTTGGGTACCGTCATTTCTACGGCTACTAAGCACCCTTAAAATTTTGAATTTCAGGTGGAAGTTGTTGGCTTTTGCGTGTATGGAGAGCTGCCATGACTCACGCTGGAGAGCTTGCATCTCTTTAGAGGACTCCAGTTAGAGAGAGAGAGAATGTTTTATGTGCCAAACAAGAGAGGGGAGAGAGACGTAGAAAGTAGCCGTTGAGAAACTAGGGTTGAATTTGGAATGCGAAAAAGAGGGAAATAGCAAAGGTTCTTCAACCCAGATACAAAGTACAAAAATGCCCCGGGTTCTCGGCTGTTATTACCGAGTACCAGCTTTTTAAAAAAATGTGGCTTTCTTTAAAGGTATGGGGAATAGAACGCCCGATCAGAATGGCTTTTAATAAAAGATCGGCTTAATCTGTATCATTTTTTAAATTTTAAATTTTAAATAAAAATAAAATAAAATTCAAAAGTATGTCTTACTTCTACCGTATAAAGGACGGTGTCGTATACAAACCTCTCCCTTAAACAAAAACCCCAACTTTATCATCTCAAAATAAAAGTTTCAAAGTTTTAGGAGTCGTTTGGATACCAGAAAATCTATTACATGACAATATGTTACAAGTAAATATGACATTTACACTGTTTGGATACATTTGAATGGTAGAAAAATGAAAATACATTACAGGATTTTACACAAGATTTCTCCAAAACCCATGAAATCAATTACGTGTAGGAGAGAGGTGAAAAATCTATTACCCACTTGACGGGTAATTTGTGAATGGTTTCTCATGCGTCTAATTTGTGAGAAATGTTTCGCGCGTCTTTCTTTCAAAACTCACAAAACCCATTCTTCTCTCACTACTCTACCCAAGCTCCCTCTTCTCTCTCTTCCTCTGCAACCCCAGGTTTACTTACGAAACCCTTTCCCCTCTCTCTTTCTACTCTACCCAAGCCGCCTCTTCTCTCTTCCTCTGCAAACCCAAGTTCTTCCCACCCAATCCGGCACTCACTCTCTACCCCTTTCAAGCATTTGAAGCTCATGTATGCTCTCAGGTATGCTCTCGTTAATCTTCATACTTCTCTCTCTACCCAGCCTTCTTTTGGATATCATTCTATGGACATTCTGGACTCTCCATGTCATTTATCAAGGTTTCAGGCATTGCTTGCAATTACGAACACATGAAGAAATTATGAATGAATTTGTGATGAAATTGCTTCTTTTTAATGAATCGAGCTGTTTGGTATCCATTTCGTGAGCTTTTCTTCGACATTTTGAATTTTAGGAATCGGTCTGTTTTTTTTTTTTAAAAAAAATCGATCTGTTTGGTATCCTTTTCTGTTTTTCCAGAGATTTTTCTTTTATTTATTGGGATGTTGAATGCAGTTTATTATCTACGTTGATGCTTTTCTCTTGATTTTTGTTGGTTATTTAATCTCATGAGCTATGTAACATGATGTAGGGATCTCGAGAACCCCTTAGCTTACGGAACCAATAATCCCAAGTACCAGGATCCCGTCCAAGATCGTGTACTCAATTGGCCAAATGCCTAGTAGATTAATACAACTATAAATTGAGTGCGAGAAATAAAACAAACATAAAAAAACACACCATAACAACACAAGATTTACGTGGTTCACCCCATAGGGCTACATCTATGGCCTCGGCAACTAGAAATCCACTATCACAATGAAGATTACAGTTTTGGGGTACAAGAGACAATACCTATCTCTAAACATCGGTAAATGACCATCATCGATCTTCCCTTCTAAACCCGCTCTCCAGACCGAGCAACACCGTCGATCAACATCCTCTTTCCTACCTCATACCGCTACCGGAAAGATAACATCGAGAGCAATATAGAGATTGTCTCTCTCTAGAAGTGAAAGTTAACCAACTCAAAACTCATGGGAATACCGCTTCTCTTTCGAAAGCCATGTTTCTCTTGGAGACCCATCTCCATATTGGAGATCCATGCCCATAACCCCCAAAGGGGCGACCCTCAAAGGAATGATACTATGTCTTCCTTCACTTAGATTTTCTGGCTTCAATAACCTTATATATGACATTGTCTCATGCTACTTGCATGGGATTTAACATATACCCTGCCAATGTAGTCAAACACCACACTTGGATTTCTTGGCCTCAATGATTTTGTATATGGCATTGCCTCATGCTACCTACATGGGATTTCTCATATACCTTACTAATATGGTGATACACCATACTTATATTTCGTTGCCTCAGTAACCTTGTCTATGGCATTACCTCATGCTACGTGCATGGGATTTCACAATATACATTGCCCATGTAGTCAAACACCACACTTAGATTTCTTGGCCTCAATGGTTTTGCATATGGCATTGCTTCATGCTACCTGCATGGGATTTCTCATATACTTTACCAATTATTCATCAACACATTGAATATTATTTATATATATCTTTTAGCCAAGAGAAAAATGCCTATTGCTTTCGCTTATTTCTTAAACATGTTGTCCACAACTGGTTTTTAAGTCCAATGCTCAGATTCGAATCATAGGACAAAATAATAAAAACAATAATAATTTGACAAAGTTGTTGCTATTATTATATACATAAAGAAATCTTTAAGTGGTCTCAACCTTAACAATAATAAAAGAAAGAAATATAATATCATTTCTTTTTGACATGCTCAATAAGTTTCAAATCGATGATGTAATCAAACTATTCAAAAATGGCTCCCACTATTCTCAATATGTGGTTGTTATCATAATAACAAAAATTAGTCCAATATAGTCTAGTATGCTAGATCTGTAATTGCTCTCACTTTCTTAATGTGCATTGATAATTATAGAGCTAACAAATTCAATTCTAATTTAGTAAATGATGATTTACTCCCACCATCTAATGAACAACTATCACCAATATGATAATTCAATATAACATTATACATCATTAAATATTTTAATTCATTTGGACATACACAAAACGCGATAAGATGTCAATGATAATTATATCGTATTGAAAAATAATAGCTCGGCATCACATCCTCATGGGTACAAATTTAGTTTGCTAAATAAACGAAAGAATACTAAGCAAAAAAAAATACCGAAAAATAAGTCACAACTTGGTTAAAAATAATAAACAACATTATCAATCTAAACAAAATATTCATAATCATTAATCACCATGAAAATTTTCAAATCAAGTATCTCTTTAAATAAAATTGATAACCAATATATATCTCATCATAATGTGTATAATTGCCAGCGGCCCATGTTCGAAATAAATAGGAACATCTTCCAACTTTTTTCTATAATTTATTTATTTATTTAAATAATGAAGAGTGAGAGATAGAGACTTGCGTATCCTTGGGTAGAGAGAGAGAGATAGTATCGTAAATTTCAAAATAGGACTACACATTGATTTGCATTCATTTCATGCTATTAAGATAAAATAGAATGTCAATAAATTTCTAATTTAAGGCAATAAAGAACTTACCACAAAAGCTTTATAATTGAAACCTGCCAAATTTTAATTTAAGGCAAAAAAAAACTTACCACAAATGCTTTGTAATTAAAACTGTCAAATTCTAATTTAAAGCAATAAAGAACTTACCACAAATGCTTTGTAATTGAAACCTGTCAAATTCTAATTTAAGGCAATAAAGAACTTAACACAAACGCTTTGTAATTGAAACCTGTCAAATTCTAATTTAAGGCAATAAAAAACTTACCACAAAAGCTTTGTATTTGAAACCTGTCAAATTCTATTTTAAGGTAATAAAGAACTTAGCACAAAAGCTTTGAAACCTGCCAAATTCTAATTTAGAGCAATAAAGAATTTATCACAAAAGTTTTATAATTAAAACCTACCAAATTCTAATTTAAGGCAATAAAGAACTTACCACA